CTCGGTGCCCTGGCCCTCATTTATTGCCTCCTTTTCTTTGTTCCAACCAACTTTTTTCTTGTCAGAACTTTGTTCCTTCTGTTTTAAGGAATGTAAGAATTTCTAGCTGCAGGCAGATACATCTCTTAGATGACTTCTATGTTTCCTCTCTTCTTTTAAGGAGGCTGAGTTGGTTTTTTGCCTTCCATTATTTGGGGATCATAGTGAAGTCCTCCAGATACAAGCAACACTTAAAACGTCTGAATTCTTCTGGTCCTTAAGTCTCCGTGCAAGTAAGCAGCTCATCAGATACCTCCAAAAAAGATGCTTTGCTACAACAGAACACGAATTGGTGGTGGCTAGAATAAGAGAATGCTGACTATTCGGCACTCCCGCTAAATTTAGAACATGCAAACTTAGGGATAGGGGCAGTAACAGGCAACATCATACCTCTCAAATCCATTCGTGCAAGGCAGATCCGCAAACACCGATCTACTTTTCCTCTGCTAGAAGGCAAAGGGTTATTTCCACACACTCTCTTAGTTGTTTTATTTCTGAGATAGCATTCTATAGGGCATAAAGACAACTGGGGGAGGCCCATGATCAAAAGCAATCCATGGATGCATTTCATTTAGCTCACACTGAGTCATGGGCTCTGTTTTAAGAAAGAAGTCAAAGCTACCTTATGAGAGTCATATGTTTTCCTCGGGTTTGGCCTCTACTACTAAGGAGTTTCACTGATTTGTGGAACATAGTAGACCTTGTTTTCTTTGGTGCTTTGGTGTGTAGGAGCCCAGTCTCTTCTGTGTCAGTGGTGCTGCTATTTCTGCTTCTGTCACGGCTGTCTGATTTTTTCCTCTTCTTGTTGCAAAATCTGTACTTCACTCCAAACTCACATGTGATAGCTTGACAGTTTTCAACCTTGACTACATATGCAATCATATATAAAGACTTTAAAAATTCTGATGTACAGGACACAACCCAAATGAAAATCAAAATTCCTCATGTAAAGTCCACACATCATTTTTTTTCTTTTAAAAATATTCTTATTAAGGTATAATCGACATATAATGTTATATTAGTTTCGGGTGGGCAACAGAATGATCGAGTATTGTATATATCGGAAAATAATCACAATAAGTCTAGTTAACATCATTACCATACGTAGTAACAGCAATTGTTTTTCTTGTGAGGAGAACTTTTAAGATCAACTATCCTAGCAACTTTCAAATATGCAATACATTATTATCACTGTAATCACCATGCTGTGCATTACATCCCTATGACTTCTTTATTCTTCTTTCTTTCTTGTCTTATTTTTATTTCTCATTTTACTAATAGGAGTAGAGTAGATTGAAGGCTTTTTGGCCATAACTTTTATTAATTTTTATTTATCTTTAAATTTATTTTTATTTCAATTTATTTTTTATTGGAGTATAGTTAACACACAATGTTACATTTCCAGTGTACAACAGTAATTTGACAAGTCTATGCATTATGCTGTGCTCACCATAAGTGTAGCCACCATCTGTTGCCGTAGAACACTATTACAGTACCATTGACTATATTCCCTATAATGTGCCTTTCATGCCCGTGACTTACTCATTCCATAACTGAAAGCCTATATCTTCCACTCCCCTGCACCCATTTTGCCCATTCTCCAACTCCCTCCCCTCTGGAAACATAAGTTTGTTCTCTGTACTTATGGATATGTTTCTGCTTTTCATTTTTTTGTTTTGTTTTGTTCTTTAGATTCCACATATAAGTGAAATCATATGGTAGTCGTCTTTCTTTTTCTTGGTTATTTCGCTTAGCAAATACCCATTAGGTTTATCCGTGTTGTTGCAAATGTCACATCTTCTTTTTTTTCCTATTTTTTTTTTGATGTAGTGTTCCATGATTCATTGTTTGCGTATAACACCCCCTGCTCCATTCAATACGTGCCCTCTTTAATACCCATCACCAGGCTAACCCATCCTCCCACCCCTCTCCCCTCTAGAACCCTCAGTTTGTTTTTCAGAGTCCATCGTCTCTCATGGTTCGTCTCCCCCTCCGATTTCTCCCCCTTCATTTTTCCCCTCCTGCTATCTTCTTTTTTTTTTTTTTAACATATAATGTATTATTTGTTCCAGAGGTACAGGTCTGTGATTCTTCAGTCTTACACAATTCACAGCGCTCACCATAGCACATACCCTCCCCAGTGTCTATCACCCAGCCACCCCAGCCCTCCCACACCCCACCACTCCAGCAACCCTCAGTTTGTTAAATTTGTTAAATTGAAAAGGACTCCCTCTCAAATGAATAAATTATTATATGTTACGGTCCATCACTCACCCACACATACTTTTTGGAATGTGACAAGAGGTGTATACAAAGGAGAGATATTAAGCCTGAGTTTCTGCAAAGGTAATGGGGCAACCAAAAGAAAGGGATGACCCAGTGGAAGGAGAGGTGAAGTTGGATTATTTTTGATTATTTTGATTTTGAGGTGTTGGAAGGCAGTTGGAATTGAGAACTTGTACTCCAGAAAATAGGCCAAGATTGAGGATTCCATTTGGAATCCCTGCACAGAACCATGATTAATAAAATAATTAAAGTTAGGACAATAATAAGGCACATTTCAAATGCATAATATTTAATTACTTAGATCTGGTATCCATCAATAATGATAACTGAACACCACATATTTTAATCATTAATGCTTAATTGAACTCAACATTCAAAAAAGTTATAGACTAGGAAAGTTGCCACCAAGTTTGAGATCATTTTAAGCTGTTATTCTTTCATGCCTTTACTGATGAATATTAGATGAATCTAGAGTACTTAGCTGAACAGCTCTATTTTGTTTCTGGACATATTTTATTTCTATTATTTAGTGACACACATTGCAAAGGCACAACTACTTTTAATATCCCATTATTTAACTAATCGACAAGTTGACCATCTATAAAATGGTTTTTCTGGCTAAGTGAGCCCAACCTACAAGAATAATGACAATCAAAGTTAAATCTCAACAAAGTTAGAGATTACTTCATAACTCATACCTTGGTTACTTATTTTGGACATAGAGAGGAGACAGATTATTAATATTAAATGTGTAGATCCCAAGGATTTATTACCTAACTTAAATAGATTCTCTACATGCTACTATTTCTTTTGGTTTTTATGGTTAAACCTTCAATAATATTTTTCATATGAATAGAAGTCTACTTTTTAGTCAAAAATGATTGCTTTCATTCTGGACAAATATTAAGAGTACAGTCATAAAATTCAACATAGCATTAACTGTTTTGGTAATCCAACACATAATTGCTAAGTGCCTGTTATGTTTCAGGCATAGATTGAGGGATGGATATAACAAAGAAGAAGAATAAAATGTGATGCTCGCTCTCAAAATCTAGAAAGCATCATCGCATCATAGTGTGGGCTTTGGACTGTTTGATATGAGTTCAAATCCTCACTCTGAAAATGTACTGGTTATGCAACTATTTGCATATAACCTCTCGAAGTCAGTTTTTCATGTATAAAATGCAGATCAACATATAAAGTGTTAGAACAACCCAGGGAAGAAGAAGTGCCATAGCAGTCTTGAGAGACAGAGGTCAACCCATACATAGCCCATCCATGTCAGAAGCCTAGTGGGTTTAGCCATTATACTGAGGGAACACTTGATGCCAGTAAACCAAGGTCTGTTCTCTAGCTATTTGATTAACATAGATAAAATTCCTTGGATCTGAGGGGGTAAGGATGACTGCAGTTTAAATAATTCTGTGCAATGTATTTGGATGAATGTTGAGGAAATCAACTCTTTCATGTGCAGAATTTCAATTAATCTACTAGTTATAAACTAATGCATCCTGTCATTTTTCATATCTGACATTTCTGAGCTCTGAGTCTTATGAGGGTTTCATGGGTGGCTGGTCCCTCCTCAGGTATTTCCCTCTGCTTATTTTGACTTCACTTTCTCCTGCTTTGTTTCATCAGTGATCATATCTCTATCTTTTGGGAAGTGGCTGATTTTTTTTCCTTATCTGTCTAGAATTCACTTCTTTTTCATTATTGTTTTAGACTTCTAAATTTTTATTCCTTTAATATAATATTAATGGAGCTTTAGAAGAGCGAGGAGATTAAAATCTATTGTTTTCTATATTGCACTCAAGAGGAAAATTCTGTGAACCTTATTTAAACATAAGATTTCTTTTTTATGACACAACCTTGAGTTATTTTGACAGAGAGTTTATTTCTGTCTCAAATATAATTTTTCAGCTTGGAAATCCTCTGCAGGATCCATGCTTTGACTCAGTTTGATGTTAATATTACAAACCACATGAGAGGGTGCCTGGGTGGCTCAGTCGGTTGAGCGACTGCCTTCGGCTCAGGTCATGATCCTGGAGTCCCTGGATCGAGTCCCGCATCGGGCTCCCTGCTCGGCA